CCAATCGACTTGGTGTTCCGCCTGAAAAACAATCCTTCCCGACCTGGAACGGAAAACCTGCCGACGGTTTCTGAAGTGGCTGCCACGATGATTGAAGACGGCAACCTCGCCGAGCCTCGCGACCTGTTGGTGTACACAAAAGCCAGAAGCCTCATGCGACTCTACGAGACGCGTGCTATCTACGATCCCCTTCAATACCCATTACTTCTTCCATATGGAGAACTGGGGTGGACCTACACAGATACATACGAAGGCGATGTGGTGCGCAGAAATAAACGAGCTATGGCACTTCGTGAGCACGTGGCATATCGGCTATTCCAAAAGGAGGACGACCAAGCAGCCCTTCATCAAGGAGGACGTCTCTTTCAGCAGTACTGCGTGGACCAGAGAGCCAAGTGCGAACAAGAAGAGCTTCGCTGGATTGCAACTCACCAGAAGGAGACTCGTACTTATCAATACAATGGCCTACGAGACGCGTATCTCCATGAAGCTATGGAAGAGGCTAGGACTATCTTGGGTGATGGCGAAGGCCTTCTGGCGGAATATGATCGTGACACTGGAGAGCTGGCTCATCCAGATCGAGCTAGGAACAAGCACTTCCTCAATCAGATTGGGAAGAAGGTCATCCTGCCGTCTTCGCACTCCGGAAGTCCTCGCCAGATGTACCAATCGTACCAAGACTCCATGGCTATCGTTAGGGAATACGGCAAGCCTGACGTCTTCGATACGATGACTTGCAATCCTACGTGGGAAGAGATCAAGGAGAAGATTACCGATCCAAACCAGAGTGCCCAAGATCGCCCAGATATCGTCGCGAGAGTATGGCAGCAGAAGCTGGCTGCTCATCTAAAAGACCTGGATGAGGGTGTGCTTGGACGGGTTGCTGCTCGGATTTACGTTGTGGAGTTTCAGAAACGTGGTCTTCCACATGCTCACATCTTAGTCATCTTGGCTGACGAGGACAAACCCCGCACTAGGCAGATCATTGACAAAATGGTGTCTGCGGAAATACCGGATCCTGAGACTAACCCGGGTCTTTATGAAACTGTCATGACGTCTATGCTGCACGGACCCTGTGGTGCAGCAAACCCATCATGTGTCTGTATGAAGGACGGCAAGTGTACAATGGGCTTCCCGAAACCGTTCGCGGAAACGACGCGGGTCAGTGATGACGGGTTCCCGCAATACAGACGCCGACGTCGACCAGAAGGAGTTCTTATCTTCAAAGGGAAAGAGTACGACAACGCAACGGTGAATCAATGGGTGGTACCGTACAATCCCTATTTTTCGCAGAAGTACAATTGCCACATCAACATTGAAATATGCACGGCGCTCTCGGTGGTGAAGTATCTGTACAAGTACGTCTACAAGGGATCTGACAGGGCAGTGATTACAGTGGAGGCGGTACCAGGCGAGGCTACTATTAACAGACGGGAGCCCAACGGGATCATTCGATACTTAAGCGCGCGGTACATATCTCCAGTTGAGGCGTGCATGCGTCTCCTTGGACACGTCGTTCAGGGAAAGACCCATGCGGTGTTTCTGCTTACGGTGCAC